GCTGGAAATCTCAATGATGTAATCTTCTTTGCCTTAAATTTCACGCAATATACAGCTTGATTGAAAAATTCGTGGTTAAAAAATTATTGTTACAGCTTTGTTACAGGGGTGACCCCTCGCCCCATCTGGTGTCCGCCCCTCTTACTCAGTTCTTCCTTTATTTCTGTGTGATATGCTGCACCCTGAATTTGGTGTACTTAAAATTTAAAGAAATTTCAGCATTCCTATCTTTAAAAGTGTATTAAGTAAAAGTTTCCTGTAACACGTGTAGTGATTTCACTACACATATTAAAGGAAACATTTACTTAATATACTTTTGAAGATAGGAAAGGTAAAATTTCTTTAATCTATTTTGTTACTAATGGGAAATATCCTTTCATTTCAGATGAAGACCTACAACCAACAGATCCTACAACATCGCCAAGATGAGAGTAACACAGAACGTCGATGCTCGATCAAGAGAAAAACGAAAATGCAAAAGTGATTAACATAGATGTAAGTGATTTCACATTTACCCTCTCCAAGTCTCCAATCTGTTTACCGCGCCAATTTTGACGCATCCGCAGACAAGATTCCTACTTTTTTGTTGTCCTACCCCCTAGCCCCCCCCCCAACTGGATATTGCCGTCGAACATGGTTGCCGTGCACCATGACCTTCCATTCTTAATTTCGGCGGTTTTTCACACGAGAGGACTGGACCCACGCGCTTTGGGGGCTTGGCGGAAGATCGGCAAAAGCATGTGACGTCATACTTACCAAATGCTAGCCCAAAATTGACCAAAACATGCCAAAACCGGCCGAGTAAAGGGCCTAGGTCTAGGCTGTCATCGACATTATTAATTATGTACATCAATATTTCAATATCAATTAATATTACCACGCACTTTTTATGGGATAATAAGTACCCAGGTTTCCAGAGCCTTCGACAGTAAATAATAAATTGAAACGTCGCGAAGGCTCTGGTTCAACGGGGAGATTCTTTGATTATATAAACCGCGCCAATCACAAAACAGAATTAATGGTTTTAGTACAGATTCTGTACTAAAACCACTAATTCTGTTTTGTGATCGGCGCGGTTTAATCAAAGAATCTCCCCGTTGAACCAGAGCCTTCGCGACGTTTCAATTTATTATTTACTGTCGAAGGCTCTGGAATCCAGGGTAGATAATAAGCGGCATTTAAATTGATTGAATTGGCGCCGACGCCTAAAATATCGACGGCAATTTTTTGTCTGTGGTAAGGGACTGGTCATAATTTATCAGGGGGGTGGGGAGGTGTAATTCAAAATTTTAAGGAATGATATTTTGTCACCCTGCTTTGCCATAACCCAGAAAAATAATGCCCCCCCCCCCACCCTCCCTTGCTAGTGTCAGTAAAAATGTACCTACCTGCTACTAAACCCTGCATTCAATAAATTTTCTAATTGCACTTTAAATTTTCTAATTTTCTAGTTGCGCTTTAAATCAAATACTAAAATTTATATTATACCAATACATAGTCATATATATATTCATTCTAAGTTTAAAGAATCAATTTTTTTCAATGCAACTCACACAAAATGCATTTTTTTCAATGCAACTCACACTAAAACAGCAGACCCCCTCCCCGCCTTCATAAACTGTCTAATATTTTATGACCCCCCCCCCCTTTCCTGGCTAAAAAATATGTGACCCCCCACTGTTTCCACCTCCCCACCCTCCTGCTAAATTATGACTAGTCCCTAATTTGGTAAACTGATTGTGAGGACTGAATATCTGATAAAAAATCCTGGCAATTTACATAACTCAAGCCTTTAACATGATTGGATCCTATTTCATGGACTCATGGATACTTTTTTTAATTTCTAAAGGCGATGTGATGAAATGTTGATGTAATGAAAAGAGATGATGAAAAGACCAAAAAGAACCACTCACGAATAGCATGGAGCCAAGAAAAGAATGACGATTCGCAACAATCCGAAACCACAACATTGCTAATATGAGAGTAGCAAAAAATTATACCAATGTAAGTTAGTTAAAGACAACATACTTATTTAAAGATCAAAGGGGATTCAAGCGAATACAATGAATTTCTCATTGAAAATAAGCATGCTACGAGTTTACCAAATCTTTCGACTTTGTTTTTCAATTTACGGAGTACAGAAATAATGGTCAATAATTGCCCTCAAAATCAGGTGCGAAATGCGATAACACAGTGTTTTTAAAACAACGGGCTAGTGTCTGTTTGTATAAAAAATATCGAAGCAACAATACCTTAAAAGCACGAAATCTTGCCTGGAATATTTGCGATTGTAGTCTTTTCTGAAAAAAATATATGTAAAATAAACATGCATGGCTTGGGGTTCAGTTAAAAAGTTAAGAATTGGTGCATTTATTTTTCGTTTGTTCAATTCCCATGGGAATATACTATACTTTGTTTTTTATGTTAATTGTTTTTCATTTTGCGCAAGCGTGAAGGTATTTTGCAATTTTATTTTTTCCCGTATTTTTAATTCCCAGGGGAATATATACTATGCTTTGTTTTTATGTTGATGTTGATTTCATAGTGGAAATTTGACTTTATAATGAATCCTCTTTGATTAAATATGATAAGTATCTTGTCTCTTGCGGGTTTGAAAGCAGCTGCGACGTGCCATGCAAATGACCATCAAGGCGTTCTGGTTAAATGAGTATGAGAATTGCGGTTAAGTCTGTTTCGATCTGTTTGAACTACATAGATAAACAGCACAATATGCTCACTAAATTATAGCGACATTGCATGCAATTTTCGTTTGGATTTTAAACTCTTACGAAAGTTTTAAAAATAATTTAATGCATTCTCATGCTTATTTAATCGAGCCTTTGGTTTAGGTAAGTTTAAGGTTTGTATATACTTCGGACCAGTTAACAAAACTCAAGCCCATACCCTTTCAGTTAAGATTGAACGTTTCGAACCAGAATCCAAAACTCAGTCTAAGTGGGTTATAGGATAGCTAGTGATAACGTAATTTATCTTTTTATTTTGCTTTTTTGTTTATAACATAATTTATTAGCTAAATGTATGGAGTGTGAGAGTGTGCGCCGTGTGTATAAGATGCATGGGGTTAGGCTAAACTAAACTAAAGGAATTAAAATTTTGAGAGCATATTTAAAGAGAAAATATATCTTTTCTGAACAAAATAACTAATTTCCTAACATCAGCAAAATTAGTTGAGTTTCGTTATTTAAACCAAGACAATAGTAAAGTATATATAGAAGGCAAAATCCGGACTTTGAGGTTTCGTTTATTTTTCTATGTAAATTTCATTTATAGAGGCAAGTAAGAAACTCACCTGTTTGTATACGCGGTCTTTCTTAATCGTCAACCTTTAATTTATTTGTTTGCGTTTGGCCTAAAATATTCGAATAATTAAATTAATTATTCAATATACTTTACCAAAATTTTAATACCTTCAGTTTTAAGGGTGGGCAGTTCGGGCTGGTGGCGGGTTGGGCAGTTGTGAGTGTCTGTGTGATGGTGAGGAAAGCGGAAGTTACGAATGGAATGCAGGTAGCTTAGGACCGAGGCAGACAGCTTAGGAACGAGGCAGACAGCTTAGGATTGAGGCAGGTAGTTAGTTGGTAGGAATCAGTGGGGGGCACTTGTCATTTCGGCCATGGGATTCAAAATTTGCATGACGAGTATTTGTTACTAACGCTTGTTGTTTACATTTGCTAGGTATGCGCGTGGCTGCTCTCAAGAGAAGATCAACTTAGCAATTTGCATTAGCATTTGCAAGGTTGGTCTTCTCTTCGCCCCGCTACCCCGGCTGGCTCTCCGAGTGCTACCTCTACTTTAAGTAGAAGTACTTTTACTTCTGCTTGAAGTAGAGGTAGCACTTGGGGAGCCGGCCGGGGTAGAGGGATTTTTTTTATTTTTTTTTTCAATTCCCATGGGAATTGAATTTTGAATTAAAAAGGAGTCTCTTGTATAATTAATGAACAATTTATTGAAAAGAATTTGTAATTTTACAATTTGAATAATAATAAAAAGAGAACAACCACTGCATACTGTACTTATTTAAATAACAATAGAAGAAAACAGAACATGGCACAAAGAGAACAATTAACATTGTGTTCCACACAAGTGAATAAGCACAAGTGAAAACACAACATTAAAAAACTTGTTTGCCCGCGAATTAACATCAAAAGAGTTAATTCTTGAGGAAACAAGAGAACCTGGTCTTTTCAAGATAAATGTTTATACTTCAAATATTGTAAAACAACTCTAATGATAAATTTTAGGAGTGATGGAGAAATGAAAAGCGTAACACCAGGTTGTTTTACAAATAAAATATATGGCTCAAAGACAAAGTAAATCGAACACGCTTTTGCTGTTTTTGGTAAAGTGACCAAACTTTTCGCTTGAGTATGGAGAATCATTAGTTTATCGCGATGTTTAGATGCAAAGTGAAGACCATTCATTGTAATGCGAGATCAGTTGTCACGTGGTTGGCAAGACATTCTCGTTGACAACCAATTCCATTGCTTGAAGAAAATTAATTTCCTTTAAAGTGCCTTAACATTTTGACAATGCATCGACAGCATACTTCATTAAACTCAGAAATAACATTTTTAAACATCGAAACATTACGACTAGATCATTGGTTCCATACTCAATTGAACATATATAAATTTCTTTCAAGTGCCAAATCAAGAATTTAAGAATTTGAAATTATCCCGCAGTCTTTTGGAGCCATATATCTTTGAGCGTCGTTTTTAACCTGACAATTTTGAATTGATTATATAAAATGTTAATACTAATTCAATGATGAAAATGCAGTTCAATAAAATTTTAAAAGAATGTTATTATTTCTTCAATTCTGATTGATTTTTCGATCAAAAATTCGGTTTCAATTTGCTTTGCTTAAGAAAATGCTACATTTCTCGTCCTTGATAAATATAATAAAATGACACACATTGATCCACTACAAACATCTCCTAAATTTCACCTAGGGAAAAGTTCTCCGGTTTTATATTATTTATAATAGAAAAAAAAACACTTCAGGAAATGTTTTTGATGCAAAACATGTAGCGAAATACACAATTACAAAATGTGGTTGAACCAAACTTTCAAATGTTCATAAAATTTTTTTTACACTTTTCTTTATATTGGTCAAAACCAAAAGGTAATTTTCAATTAGGAAACAGCTTATTGTGTTGCATAATAAAAAAAAACAGAAACTAAGTTTTGCATGGGTATACTTTGTTAACTCAAAAGTAGACAAACAGTTTTGATCAAAGTCCTCCAGTTTCCATACAATCCTCAGATCTCAACAAACAAAATATTATATTGCATTTTCATCAATTTCTGGTATCAACATTAAAGCAAACCAAACACAGACATCAAAAGACATATACAGTAGTAGCAGTTGCTGATTGAACTTATGAAATTTCATTGAAAGGTCACAAAGATTGAGTTTTAGTTAATTTTGGACGAAATTCTTGTCAGGTTAAAAACAGACCTTTTTGAAGTATAAACTTACCTTTACATACTCATTGAAAAGACCATGTTCAAGTGCCATATAAACCTGTTTTCTTATATTATTATTTTGACTATTATAACACACCATTACAAAGTGGAACTATTTGAAAATAATGTTGAACTGAAGCAAAAGAAATACATGTAGACATAGAAAACTAACAAATTAACTTTAACTTTAATTGTCAAACAATTATTAACCACAATCAGCCAATAAGTTTAAAAAATAAATCTTGTCATCTCAGTATCCAAACCAAAGTACAAAATTACTTAATTCAATCTGATTTGAATAAAATAAAATCAGATTATTTAAAATCTATAACTTTGTATTCAAATTATAAAATTTGCATCTCAGTCATTGCCTATCTTGTTTGTGATGAAACACACAAAAATTTTGATGAATACTAAAAATATGGTTAATTCCATGCTTGAATTTTGATTCAAATCTTACAAAATTATGCATTGATTAACACCTATCACAACAAACTGTCAATCTTATCTTCAGCCTCAATATTCCAATTATTGGATTGCTTCACCTTATGTTTTGTCAATTAAATGACAAAGAAATGTGTATTTTTTTCCTCCCAAATAATCACCTGTGGAATTATACAATAAAAAAATTATTCACCTCAGGCTCGGTGATTATCATGAATAAAAACCTCGACTTTGTCTCGGTTTTTATTCACCGATAGTCACCCTCTCCTTCGGCGAATAATTGTTAATTAATATATAGTTTTCAATACTGATTGTTTTTCCTTCCCTATAATACAAAACATATTCCAAAGAACATCATGCAGTAGTCTGGTTGTGGTTTTCCTTGCCATGCATGACAATCAATTTTCTTTCATTTTCAATATCTCACATCCCCCCCCCCCCAAAAAAAAATTAAGTATAGTTTGCTGCTTCAGTTCATCCATATTCAAATAAGTTCTACTTTCTAATACAGTAAAGGCAATATCCTAGCTTATCTCGACCTTAACTGTTTGTTTTCAAGTTGGGAAAGCTTTCTTAATTCCGAAATTGAATGATAAAAAAAACAACTGAAGAACACAACCCTCCCATGAGTCAGTACTGTATAGAACTGCCTTGTTCCTTAACAAATCCATTTTATTTGTGTCCAGGAATAATCAAACTCATGTATTAAGAGTGTGCTGGGATAAATAAGACAGGACTATTAAACAGCGAGGCAGTTCTAACAGTGCTAATTTTAAAAGTATTGTATTCTTCAATTGATCACTAATTGCTTTTTCTAAGATTCAATATTTCAAGACTCGAATTAAATCCAGAATCAACATTGAAAGAAATATTGTGATTTTCAGATGCACTTTCCAAACTTTCAACAACAAACACTGAAAGTCTATTTAAACAAGAGAAGATTGAAATGGAATACAAGTTACTGTTTTCACAATGCACTAGCTTTGATAAGTTCAAAACAGAAATTACGACGAGACAAATGTTCATCAATGTTCTTTTAATCCTTTAATTAATTAATGAAAACATACTCCAAATTAATGCCGAAACATGAAAGATGACAAAAAGAAAATCCTGAATTAATAAAGTCACATGACTCGTTTTTTGTTTCTAATAAAAACCACCTCAATCTTCTCAATGTTTAACTGATGTAACAAAGCCAAATAATGACAAACTAAAATGCATTTTTTTTATATTTGACAAAAACGTAATTTGGAAATATGTAGAAACAACTATGTTCTCAAAAAGAACACAGATAAACACAAATTTATAGGTTCTGTAGTTTAAGAGTCAGCCATTGCCAAACAGAGAAAATGTATGTCCAAACCGAATCGTCATTGTTAAACACAATTTTTTGAAACACAGACAGTTTGTCATTTTCTGGCTTGCTCATAAAATGCTTATATGCTTTGAACATTATAAACTTTCTGTGATCGGTGGCAACAAAAAACGTAATCGAGGAACCGAGGAAAGTAATCGAGGAACCACAAAACTGAAATTTTCCAAATTAATACAAGTCAAATAATGGTGGTGTAGTAATAGAATAAAAAGAGTGCATTATTGTACACTCACCATATTTTGGTGTAAAGATTGTGTTTGTTATTTTTGTGTTATAAATAAGATGGTCATGCTATTTTTGCAATATTCTGCTGGGATTGTTGAAACCATTGATCACAAGCAATCACATAATGTTCAAAGCATTTCATGCAAGATAAGAAAAATATTAAGACCTTTTATATACTTTCCAATGACGGTGTTCATTTTTGTGATCAAAAACACGTCAGCCAACAACTTGAGAGATTCTTGGAAATTGCAACACACATCTACAAAATTTTAAAAACTCGCTATTGAGAACATGAAACAAATTAATATATTACAAAGAAATTGTCCAAAGAAATACAAGGAGAAGATTATAATTGGAAGAAAAATAATTTACCTCTTATTCAGGATCTTGGAATGTGTCCATTTTTCATAATCATGAGATCTTGAGGCAGGGGCTTGCAACATTCTCGGAACTTGCACTGTATGTCTACAAAAATTTATGAGAATTTTGCTGAGGATGTGAATAGCTTGGCTAGGGCCTAAAAAAATACCTGTGGTTCCGTTTTGATATTACAAAAAAAAATTAGGGTTGGTAGGTCGGAAATAGGCCCACAGTAATTGGCGTTATGCAGTTGTGGGACCCTGCCAGAATTTGTAATTTATGTTATGGCAAAGTTATTAAATTAAATTAAATTTTTTTTGAATATTTTTTTCAATAATTAATGTGACAACAGACACCTTTTGGCAGCAGCCTGCAACCACCCAGAGAAAATAGGGATGCACAGTCAATCATGTATATATAAACTTCCTATTGCCTCTGTGGGGGTGGTATGGATGTTTTCTGTAATGACCCAATCACATATTTTTTTGTTAGTTTTTGTAATGTTCAAAATTGGTCAGAAATTGCCAACCAATTGTTGGACGTTTTTCAACTTCATTTTGACTTAAATATGCTTTTAAATTTAACAAACACTGTCCTTTTTATTTTTTTAAAATTCCCTGAATCCTTGCCAGCCCTGCATATTTTTGAGCCTGGAATAGACGTGCTTCAAAAGAACAATCTTCTTTTCAAACCACCCTCATCCTACAAACTTTAGATTAATCCCTCCAGCCCGCAAACGGAAAAGCCCCACCTACCCACCTCCCAGCCTGCAGTGACGTCAAGAAACACAATTCTGGATGTTGCCTTGGGCCATTCCATAAACCCCCCCCCCCCATGGACGAGAATTTCCGAGAGGGTTTGAAAAAGCAGTTTCTGAGGGGTTGTGTGCATCGGCATCCTTTGATCTTTGCATTTTTTCTGAGGAGTAAGGAGAAAATTTCTTAATTTCTTGGGGGGGTGTTTGTGTCGGCACTTTGACCTTTTTTTTCTTAGGGGTTCAAATTTTATTGACCTCGTCTATGGGGGGGAGGTGTACAGTAAATGGAATGGCCCCTGAGTTATGGTAGCAATTTTCACTTAGTTTTATTTTAATGCAAGAACTTGGAGATATTAACAACTTTTTCGACAACTTAATCAATTCTAGATCTTAATTAGTCTTTTTACTCACTTGGTCTATAGTAAAACACGGTTTAAAGTTCGACAATCGGCCACAATGCGAACCGCCGAACCACGTGCAAAGCAAAAGCACAAACTTTATGCCCAAATATCGCTTTAAATTCGGGCTCGATGTCTTAAATTTCCATCTATATTGGCAATCTAAGTACTCTACTACAATGATTGATATTAAATAAAGCATATTACCTTCCAATAAAGGTAGGATTGATAAAAAACTTTCCTCCATTTTTCTTCTTCGCTTTTCGACATATTTCTTCACCACGCGGCAAAAATATTAAAATTCGGAAATTCCCGGCACTCCCGTCGGGACCTTCGGCACTGTACGACGCAAGACGTCAAATTCCGAGTTACTTTAATATGACAGGGGGGTCTGGAAAAATATAACATAATTATTAATTTAATACATAGCGCAGGGGTTTTTATTCCCTTTTGGGAACGAAAGGTTTCTCATGAACAAGTAGGAGTTTTTTCTCCGAACTTGTTTGGGAAATTGATAATTTTGTGAAGAAAAAGTGATATTTTTACTAATTTTACAGTTATAATCTGACCAGCACCTAACCTGCGAACGGGCAATGGGTTGTATTCAATGGTATTACCCCCCTTTTAATATATACATGCATTATACAAGATGTCGTCTCATATAGAGCGAAACCCTGGCATGGATTTAGACATTTCTTGGGTGAGAAAAAGCTGCGTAAATCTGCCTGCTGTGAACAGGCGAGCAGAAACTTTAAAAACCCGTCGTTCTATTAAAAAACAGTGGCAAGCCGCTTGGCTTTTGAGGGCAGTTTCGTGCCTTGATCTTACAACGCTTTCTGGGGATGATACGAGTGGCAACGTGGCTAGGCTGTGTTTCAAGGCTCAAAGCCCGGTCCGTCAAGATCTGTTGAAGAGCATGGGTTTCGACAAGGAGATAACTGTTGGGGCAGTGTGTGTGTATTCTACACGGGTGCCGGATGCGGTCAAGTCGCTAAAGGATGCGGGGTCAAATATACCCATAGCTTCAGTTGCGGCGGGGTTTCCTGCTGGTACGTGGGGTTGAACAGGGTACAGTGTAGGTTGGGGTTGAACAGGGTACGGGCTATAGTGTAGGTGGGGGTTGAACAGGGTACAGGCTATTGTGTAGGTGGGGTTGAACAGGGGACAAGCTATATAGTGTAGGTGAGGGTTGAACAGGGTACAGGCTATTGTGTAGGTGGGGGTTGTACAGGGTATAGTGCCACAAATTATCAGAACCGGACTTGCTAGTGAAAAACCGAAATCATTACGTACATTCCTTTCTGCAGGCCAGACACCTCTAAAACAACGTTTAGAAGAGATTGAGATGGCTGTATCATATGGTGCTAAGGAGATAGATATTGTTATTTCCCGAGCATATGTCCTCGATGGCGATTGGCAGGCTTTGTATGACGAGGTCAAAGCTTGCCGCAAAGCATGCGGAGATGCACACCTCAAGACCATAATAGCCACAGGGGAACTGGGCTCGTTGGTCAATGTGTACAGAGCAAGTCTTGTCTGCATGATGGCTGGCTCGGACTTTATCAAGACCTCTACGGGGAAGGAAAGTGTGAATGCTACATTCTCTGTTGCTCTCGTTATGGTCCGGGCGATCCGAGATTACTACCAGGTTCATGTCAATTTCAAAATTGTTGACACTTATGTATGAACAAGAATGAAATAAACTACAAGCATTAAACTACCTTCACTACTAATGTGTCAAGTTAATGTAATCCCCAAGCAAATGTTATAGACCCATTGCACTGTCATCACAAATCCTTAAGCCCTGGGCAAACTAGGAAACATTGTTGTGGAAACATTGTTTCCTACCAATGTTTCGCCATGTTTCCCAGAGTGGGCAAACACTAGGAAACATTAGTGAGAAACATAGGGAAACATCAAATGTATCTGAATTTGCTAGGAAACATTTTTGCTTCCCGGGAAGCCAATTTTGTTTCCGCGACAATGTTTCCACGGGTGGGCAAACATGGAAACATTTGAGGAAACATCGAGAATCACAAATGTTTCTGCAACAATGTTTCCTAGTTTGCCCAGGGCTGTAGAGTGTCCTCCAGATGCTCCCTAACAATATCTGTTCGGATACAACAACCACATACAGCACAAAAACTAACCATCTTAATACAAAAGTATTATAAACTTTTACAAAATTTGCTTTGTTTACAAAAGTTATATTATGCATAGATAGTTATATTGTGAATTTGTCCTCCGGATGCATCATCATTGGTGCTGTGATGTCATGTGCTATGGATCTATTCACAGGACAGTGTGAATTCAACCTGAAAAAAAAACGACAACGTTTCAAGCGAAGGCCCTTTGCTTGAATTGTCGAAGTTCCACTTGTATTTTTGTAGGTTGTTGAATATCCTTCTCAAACTGCAGCTCTATTGTGTTATTGTCACTACCTATGCTAGCACAGACCATGTGAATTCATAGACGTATAAGTCATCACAAACACACTGTCCCATTGTTAACACTACAATGAAAGAAAATCAACCCTGTTTCACACATTTACCCATTGTTCTAACTTGCAGAAAACTGGCTACAAGATTGGTTTCAAACCTGCAGGAGGAATTCGTAGTGCTAAAGAAGCCTTGACATGGCTTGCTCTGATGAAAGAGGAACTTGGCGACGAATGGACTCAACCAAACTTATTCAGAATTGGAGCCAGTTCGCTTCTTCTTGATATTGAAAGACAGCTCTTCCATTTTGTTACAGGAAGGTAGGATTAGAAGGATATCATGTCATTGATTGTTAATAATTAACTGTATAAACAAAGCTCTAGAAAACTCATTAAATTTGAGCGAAAACAGGTTAAAGGACGGACATTTGCAGCAACAAAAGAGCCGGTTAAATGTTGGCAAACTAAATTTGCATCCAATGTATCTTGCATTCTTTCTGAAAATGGTAAAACCACTTCAAAAATAGGCTACCCTGGGGTGGCTGAGATTCTTAGATATTTATTCATATATTTCTATCATTTTTCTGTTATTTCCTAGATATGCTGCTGCTCACGAGATGCCAATGTCTTAGAAGGTGGAACAATTTGTTGACATTTCCTCTCAAAATTGTGTAAAATATTTAATCTTTGATGCAATAAATTCATTGAAATTCATTAACTTTGTACAAATTATTACACTATATAACATTTGTTGTACATTAATTCACTTATTGATACCATCAATCGGCCAGGAAGTCGACGACTTCTTCAAGTTCTCGTTGTTTTGCTTGTTTATGAGCCCAGCGATCCTCTGCTACCTTAGGAGTAGCGTTCCATTTTTCATGATAAATTACACTTTTACATGCTGGGCACTTTTTATCTAAGACACATAAGAAAAATAGATATGGCAATCAATTAATCAAAAACATTTATTTAAACAAGATTTAAAAATTTTCCACAGACAGAAAATTTCCCAAAAATATCATTGTTTATATTCAGTCGAACCTCTATTAAGCGGCCCTCCATTAAGCGGCCACCCTCTATGAAACGGCCACATATTGAAGTCCCGAAATATTTGTAATACAAATACTATAAACTATCCCTCTATTAAATGGCCACCTCTATTAAGCGGCCGCGGCCACCCAAAGAGCGGTCCCAAATGATGTTTTATGTCAATTTTTACCTCTATTAAGCGGCCAGCCTACTTGGTGCAACACCTTGTCAGGAGAGCCGAGCCGAAAATAAAAGTCGAACTAATTTGCTTTATTTGTAAAATAAGGCTTAACATGCACATGTCACTTTACACCTCAAAAGCTTTACACTTCAAAAGATTTGACTGCGCCCAGGGTCTATTATTTGCGTACCTCTATTTAACGGCCACCTCTATTAAGCGGCCACAAAGCCGATCCCCGAGGGTGGCCGCTTAATAGAGGTTCGACTGTAATTAATTAAAAGTTGAAAATTTTCAACTTCAAAATTTTTTTCTGTCGACAGAAAATTTGTGTTGCCAATCACATTTTACAAAATTTCCTTTCCGCAGAAAATTTTCCTGAGTGGAAATGAGCCTTGACAGTTGACACATATTCATATAGGTGATGTGCAACCACTCCCATGGGATCCAAAGGACAAAGAGATTTTTGCCATGTTGGATATTTACATTGCAAACAAGCAAAATTCTTTGTCAATGTCATCCAACATGGCAACGGTGACGTAACTTACACACCACTTATTGAGAAGACAATACCTCGATTTATAATAAATTTCTCTCCTGGAAAAGTCAAATAAAAACTAACCTTTAAAAGGTGGAGTTTTCATGTATTTATCAAGACATCCAAAATGATAGATATGTGAACAATATACTCTCTCAAGATGGTTTGGGTCTGACGGATCTTTTACAACTTCCTACAGAAATATCAGAAATATCTCTTAGTGCTGGGATTTCAGTGAACTGCTGTCAAAATGAAATACAGTTTCTAATAAAGTAGTACTCTTCAATAATAATAATACAATATTACTGGAACAATTTGACTGGAATACAAATGATACCACCACACCTACCTCAGGATTATCTGGTAAAGTTCGCTGTTGACACAACGGACACACCTCAGTCGGGTATCGTCTGATGCAATCATTAACTAAATATTCAAAAACTTCTTGAAGTGATGGCTTAGGTTCAAATGGCGGAGCCTTAGGATTTTTCTTTAAAGGTTTACTAACACATCTTCTGGCGATCTCTTCGGCTTGGGATAGAAATACTTTTCTTAGATATGAAGGAAAGTTTGATCCTGTTTCTTCTATCCTAAAATAGAAAATAAGTGCATGAATTGCTCATGTTCAAGACTTTATTTTGAGCAGTTAAAGTGTTGGTATTGAAGAGTCGATGAATGAAAATGAATCATGAATTTACCTGACTGCTTCAGCAGGGTATTTGTCCGGAACTGTTATCCTAAATGCCATATTAAATCTGTAAAAATTTCATTGAAAGAAGAACAATTGTTACTCAACAAGGTAACAAAAAACAAACAAACTAACCACATACATAAATATAGCAAGCATAAGAGGAGTTTCCAGAAATAGGTAAGTTCCAAAGAGTACAAGTTGACCCATTGGGAGCAGCACTCTCCACTTAACGAGTAAAATCGTCTGGCGTTAGAGTAAAATACTAAAGTAGGCCGATCGGGGTACATTGCCACTTAAAGGGTTAAGATCGACTGGATGGGAACAATTTCGAGATCCAAATGTGAAATGGTCAAAGCTTACCTATCTTGATTTATATTTACAGTAATTATTCCACTTTTTGTTTTTATTTTAAATTCATCATTTTCTGTATTAATTATATTCTTTTTTATATGATTCAGTTCTTCTGAGCAAACACAGAATGCATTCTCATCCAGGAACTTTTTAATAAAACTTATCACTGGAACAATCTAAAAATGATTAAAAACATGAAATTAGGGATTCATCGCATTATGTCCATATGTAATACATCTCCACAGAATAGAAACCTTACAGAAGGCTGATTTCTCGGTTTGGCCTATGATTTTGGTGCAATGCTGTCTCCATATTCCTAGTCAATGGACTTATGAGAGGCATTCACCCCCCTGACAATATTCAAGATGGCAGACGTTCAGGGGGTGAGTGCCTCTCATAAGCACACTGGATAGGAAAATGGCGAGTGCATTTTGATGATGAATTATGGCTGAGTCAGCTTTCTGTATGGTCTCTATTCTGTGTCTCTATATATGCCTGTATGTATCTTAAGGCCCGGTCACACTGCACAACAATAACGATACGATAACTTGTACATGCGCACTGATTGGTAAAAAATTTATTGTTATTGCCCGAATGAAAAAAACCGTTGGGTGAGCGATTTTAAAATCGTTATTGTCAAACGATAATTTTATCATTTTCGTTGTAGTGTGGACACCAACATAATTTTCTTGCCAATCATTGCGCGTTTACAAATTATCCTATTGTTATCATTGTGTAGTGTTGACCGAGCCTTCAGTCTATCTGTATGTCCGAGTCTTTAGTCTATTTGTACGTCCAGCTCTAGCATAAATCAAGCTAATATTCACCTGTTGTTTCCCAATATATTTCTTCATCTCCTGATCACAGAAATTGACCAATTTATTTAACAGTTTTTCAGGAAGAGTTTTACTCTTTAGTTCAACCAGAATCCCACTTTGTGGATAATCTTTGGGAAACTGAAGATGAACAGTCAACTGTTTATATTTTGTCCTTCTGTAAATGAAAGAATGAAGTAACAATTTAAACCAGACAAAAATGACACAATTTATACTAGAGAAATCCATCTAGACGGACACATGAATTGTATAATTGTATATTTTTGTCCAAAAAGACTAATAAAATCACACAGCATACAAAACAAAGAGCAATTAAAATCACAAAATAAATGAATTCAACTTACTTTACTTTCACTTGAACAAGCGCGAAGTGACAAGCAATAATCTCCGTTCCTTCAACAATTTCGGTTAATTTTTCCCTCACATATTGTAGTTCTTCTCCCACAAATGTCTCATCACAATTACTTGCCATGGATTTCAAATTTTGAGCGAGAAATTCAGCATAAAAACACAAATTTTTGTTAAAAATTGTAAATATTTTTCTTCTTTTGCGAGATACCTCTGACCAAATCATTGCGGGCTACTCTACCGCTGATCTAGTTAAACTGGAGTTACTTTAAGACAGTCCTGCACAGCCTGTCTCAATGCACACCTTAAAATGTCCAGCCTGCATCTCTTAGTGCACTCCACGCACTGAGCTATAAATATTACAGCGACAAACAGACGGACAAATAGATTATACAGGTGCAAACAGACGGACAAACAGATTATACAGTGGCAAACAGATGGACAAACAGATTATACAGTGGCAAACAGACGGACAAACAGATTATGCAGGGGCAAACAGATGGACAAACAGATTATACAGGGACAAACAGATTATACAGGGGAAAACAGATGGACAAACAGATTATAGAGGACCAAACAGACGTACAAACAGATTATACAGGGGCAAACAGACGGACAAACACATTATACAGGAGCAAACATATGGACAAACAGATTATACAGGGACAAACAGATTATACAGGGACAAACAGATTATACAGGGGCAAACAGACAAACAGATTATGCAGGGCAAACAGACGGTCAAACAGATTATACAGGGCAAACAGACGGACAAACAGATTATACAAGGCAAACAGACGGACAAACAGATTATACAGGGCAAACAGACGGACAAACAGATTATACAGGGCAAACAGACGGACAAACAGATTATACAGGGGCAAACAGACGGACAAACAGATTATATTGGGACAAACAAACGGACAAACAGATTATACAAGGACAAACAGACGGAAAAACGTTTTATACAGTGGCAAATAGACGGACAAACAGATTATACATGGATAAACACATTATACAGGGACAAACAGACGGACAAACAGATTATACAGGGCAAACATATGGACAAACAGATTATACGAAGGCAAACAGATGGACAAACAGATTATACAGGGGCAAACAGACGGACAAACAGACGTTAGTGGTTTATAGTTGTTATTACATGAAGTAATGGCTGCCTTCTTTTCGTCTGTTTGTCCGTCTGTTCGCCCCTTATAGTTTGTTTGTCCGTCTGTTTGTCCCTGTATAATCTGTTCGTCCGTCTGTTTGCCCCTGTATCATCTGTTTGTCCGTCTGTTTGTCCGTCTATTTCCCCCTGTATAATCTGTTTGTCTGTCTGTTTGCTCCTGTATAATCTGTTTGTCCATATGTTTGTTCCTGTATAATCTGTTTGTCCGTCTGTTTGCTCCTGTATAATCTGTTTGTCCGTCTGTTTGCTCCTGTATAATCTGTTTGTCCGTCTGTTTTCCCCTGTATAATCTGTTTGTCCGTCTGTTTGCCCCTGTATTATCTGTTTGACCGTCTGTTTTCCCCTGTATAATCTGTTTGTCCGTCTGTTTGCCCCTGTATAATCTGTTTGTCCGTCTGTTTGCCCTGTATATCTGTTTGTCCGTCTGTTTGCCCTGTATATCTGTTTGTCCGTCTGTTTGCCCTGTATAATCTGTTTGTCCGTCTGTTTGTCCCACTCAGGCCAAGTCTTCGTATAAAGCGCGGTCGGATCTTTCGAAATTTCTCTTCCCAGAAACAAACATCTTTTAAAGATGGTAAGTTTCAATCCGTTTCAATCCGAATTGAAAAAACCTTTTACTCTTGTTTCTTTTCATTGAAATAGAAGAATGAATACATTGCTAAATATTTAAATGCTTATTTTCTAAAAAGGTCAATATTCCGAAGACGCGTAAGACCATTTGTAAAGGCAAATGCAAGAGGCATACTCTTCACAAAGTAACACAGTACAAAGCTGGAAAAGCTAGTCTTCACGTTCAAGGTTAGAAAATGTTTTGGGAACTATATTTTGAAATATGAAATTCTCGTGGCTAAGGACATAATGTACGGTGCCTTTTATAATAGTTAAAATATAAGATAATAATTGTTGTATTAAAATTAGTATATTTTATTGAAATCAGAAAATATTTTTGCCTAGGAAAGCGACGTTATGATAAAAAACAGCAAGGATTTGGTGGACAAACTAAACCTGTTTTCCATAAAAAGGTTTGTACATTAACAGATTTACAGTCTCAAAAATTAAACTTCATTTAGAGGGTCAATGGAAACTTCATTTAGAGGGGCAATGGGTGTCCATTTATATAATCTACCATTTATGATCTATTTTTTCCAACTTAGGCAAAGACAACGAAGAAGATTGTGTTGAGAATGGAATGCACCGAATGCAAGCGTCGGAAACAAGTGCCCATTAAGAGATGTAAACATTTCGAACTTGGTGGCGACAAGAAGAGAAAGGTATGATCCCCCCCTGGAAAATTGGTTGTACAGTCACCTCAACACATTACTCCAGTATATATCGAGCCCACTAGTTATTGTCACAACTCCTGAACATTATAGTCCAGTGGTTGTTGCCGACACGGTATGAAGGGACATGGTATGACAAGGTTTCTAATTGATTTTTTTTCTCTATTTTCTTTAGGGACAAATGATCCAGTTCTAACTTCCAAGCTCAATAAATATTTGTTGATATTGTGTATTTCTGTGTGTCTTCTTCATTCATAATTAACTTGGGGCGGCAGCACAGTGGCGGTTAGTGCAGTAGCGTTACTTTTGCGACAGCAAGTGTACGAGTCCCTAGAATCTTCCTAACAAGCCTCGACCAGTTGATTTCACAAAAACTCTGACCACAAATGTTCCGAACTTTGTTGCGAAGTTCGCAAGTTCATGTTGGAATTTACAAGCCAATTTGTAAACAAAGTCCCTGTTTGGTCCCTGAAGTAAAAGAGCCAATCAAATGCATAGTTTACAAACTGGTTTGTGAATCTCATGAACTTTTGAACTTCGCAACAAAGTTTGGAACATTTGTGGTCAAAGTTTTGTGAAATCGACTGTACATGTAATAGAATTGCTCCCGAGTGATCGATAACCCATTGAGCCTCAATGCAAGGACCTGTTTATTATTTTACTCTGTCTAATGTCAGACAATTTTACCTGTCAAGGAGAGTGTGCTGGGACTCAATGGGTTAATCGATTATTTCCTATTCTTTGGCGATTGATTATTCTTAATAATCGAATCAACGAACAGCGTGATACCTGGATAACTTTCTTTCCTGATTGAAAGTATTGCTGATGCGATCAAATGAGAAACCATTGTCAAATAAAATCTTTGAAACATGCCCCCCCCCCCCCTTTTCTTGGAAGTGACATCAACCACTTTGGATGTGTCTAGATCTATTCAATACGATCGATCAATTATGAAAATGAACCAATGGAGCTCTACATGTGAATATATGATCACTCTTGTATCATTTTGACAGACTTAGTGTAATGATGGAAAAGTGAATGATATATGGCCTTGGTTGCTTAGCAAATTCAGAGGAGCAATTTACCACTGTCCTACTTCATTAAGAAACTTGACAAAGTCCTTGAAAAACAAGACCCCCCAAGCATTTTGACCAATATTTAATGAAAGGCTGAGAATTTCTTTCAAACACAATTTAATATTAATATATATTGTATATTTATAAATTACATGTTCATTTGCAATTGTGCAATTTGATTTATAATGAATTAATTTGATTCAAGTTTCATTTCATGTTACATACATGTACGTAAACTAATTTGCTAAATAACTATTTCACCCATTTCAATATCAAACAATATCAAAAACAACATCAAAATTAAAACAATAACGAAAACACAACATCAAAAACAAGCTCTTCCAATTTGTTCTAATTAGCATTTGCCCTAATTAGAATGTTATTAGAACTGAATAACTTAACAACAACAAATAAGTTACAATTAAAATAGCGATAAGGTGGATCACCACCTATCTTGTCGAGGATTGCTCCATAAAATCTGCAGAGAATCTCTTAAATGCTTGCCTAGAAAAAATCATCAATGATATATTTAAGCTGATTTTAATTCTTATATAAGACATCTGCACTGATGATAGCAAAAAACCCTTGAAAATTTAAATCCTAATTAATAATATTAATCATCTATAACTAATATTAAATAAGATCTATAATAACAATCAAGGAAGTAATAATATCTATAATCAATAATATCTATGACAATGATCAAGCAAGCAATAGTTTCTATAGTCAATAATATCTTAAATCATAATCAAGGAAACAATATTACCTATAATCAATATCTATAATGTAATCAATAATATCTATAATGTAATCAAGAAAATTGAACCAACATACCCTACAGCTTTTGCAACCGGTTCGGTTGAGAAGTCGGACATAAACGTATGACAAGCGAAACGATGTTCGTTCGGGTGTTTTGTCACAAATCCAAAGTACCTTTGAAGGAACACAAAGCATATTAATTAAGGTCTTTTATTGGGGTGCGAGAGGAGTGTTAATTAAGAATCAGCCATTTACCTTGGTGAATTAGGGTAACAACCACAAAATGTGACATCTTTTAATTTGAAAAAGAACCTTACATTTGATGCCTGTAATAAAATAAAAATAAAATAGAAGTTCTGCTTGTATTTTGCAGATAGTTATATCACAGAGTAGAGACATACAGAGACGTAACTAGTGTACCCACTTTTTTTGTGCGCATGCTTGGCAAGTTACTAGATACATGCATCTGATTGGATGACGACCTGATGACGACTCACTTTAAACTTGCTGAGCACGCGCAGTTGATCATTTTTTGCCTGGTCGCCTGAAAAAAGTGGGTACATGAAAACGTAAGCTTCCGCAGTGTTTACGACAGTCAGATACGTCTCTGTATGTCTCTACTCTATGGTTATATGAATGAATGAATGAACTAATTTATTTAAAGAGGGTAAAAACACACAGACAGCAATATAACTGAAAAACCTGTGGTCCTCTGGCACTACCTAAATTGATGTGGACCGTTCAATTAGCCATTCCAAAGTTGACGAGTGGACTGGGTACGAGTGTTAAAAAGTGCCTAAATTACGAAATGAACCAAATCACTAAAAAGACCAACTCAAAATTAGTAAGTATACAAAGTTTGAAGACGTTTACATGAATATCCTTCGAATAATAAGCTTTCGTTAACACCTTCGTTCACCATACTTACCCGTTTGGATGGTGAGGTGTTAGCCCGGGTGACCGAGGGGTGGCCTGGAACGACTACTGGTACTACTGTTACTTGGACTCGGGTTAAGATCCATGCCAGTGGTATCTTGAGCAGACCACCCCCGCAGGGCTAACACCTTCACACCAATTAACAATTGGTGGAAATATAAAAGAACAGGAGAGAAAAAAAAATCTTTGTTCCTAATACGTTTACTACGCTTCCAACGCACAATGATTACTAATACCACCAATGTGCGGCCAACCTCTTATTACATACTCGCCCAGCCCCCTTCTGGTCACATGATGTGCCGACGTAATGAGGCTTGGTTCCCTAGCTGTTAACCTTTGTTATTGCATAACCTCATAAAATTGTGAAATTACTGATTAAAAGATTGTTTTTGGGATGCGCGTCCCAAAAACAAAAATTACAATACATTTCATAGTAAATATCACAATTTTCAAAAGCTTATTATTCGAAGGATATTCAGGTAAACATCTTCAAACTTTGTATACTTACTAATTTTGAGGTGGTCTTTTTAGTGATTTGGTTCATTTCTTAATTTGGGCACTTTTTAATACTCGTCCCCAGTCCACTCATCAACTTCGGAATGGCTAATGGAATAAATAACTCCAGACGAAGGGCCTTCACTCGAAACAGTCGAAATTCTCCTTATATTTTCAGGTAGGTGCATCCCTACCAATAAAAGCTTGTTCATGTTATTGGCACTACCCACACTGGCACAGACAGTTCACGTTTTAACCGATCATGTTATATAAATAGTCTGCACAATACTTACATGTATCTACATGACCGTACATAAGTAATGATTACTGGTGTTATTATTAATCAATAATAAAAATAGAAAAAAATTTATTACAGTTAACACCACAAAAAAAAAGGTTTACAAAGTGTAAGATTCTAGCATGCTGAGTATAAAATTGCTAGTTTAACATAAAATTTGAACATATTGACATATAATTTGAAAAAATCAATAATTGAAACAACTTTGGTACCTTTGGTTCGTTATTGAAAAGCCTCCCGACTAAAGATTTTGAGTGTCGTTTCTAGAGACAATAAGAATATTATTTTTATTACATCTGCTGCAAATAATAGTCTCTTAACTCATTGTGTGGTAGCACTCTCCCTCTGACAAGTAAAATCGTCTGGCGTTAAACAGAGTAAAATAATCTGGTGTTAGACAGAGTAAAATAATAAAGTAGGGTGCATTGCCACTTAAAGGGTTAACAGGGTGAATAGCCAGATAGTCTAATTAACCCATTGTGTGTGGCAGCGCTCTCCTCTGACAAGTAAAATCGTCTGGCGTTAGACAGAGGGAAATAATCTGGTCTTAGACAGAGTAAAATAATAAAGTAGGGTGCATCTGGGCACATTGCCACTTAAAGGGTCGACTAGCAAGTGTCTGTAAATCAAATTAATTGCTTTGTAAAAATTACAGTGTTCTAAATTAAATCCTGCCTCTTTAATTAAAATAACCCACCTCATTTTCCTGTCCATGGTCGACCAATCGTATTCCTCTATAGTCAATCTCCAGGCTGCATGGTGGTATTTCGGATAGTTTACTGTTACTTCTCATTTTCAATATTGTGGCTATTGCTTGACATAATACTGTATTTCCTTTAAACTCAAATACTTCCACGGACCCCAAAAATCTATTGAAGATATTAAGTATTTTGAAAAATTGAGCATAGTGTAAATGAGTGACAGCACTCTCCACTTGACGAGTAAAATCGTCTGGCCTTAGACAGAGTAAAATGCTAAAGTAGGGTGCATCAGGGTGCATTGCCACTTAAAGGGTTTTAAAAATGCAACACTCTCCCCCTTGGTGAGTAAAATTGTCTGCCGCCAGACAGAGTAAAGAATTAATAGAGTAGCATGTATTGAAGCTTAATGGGTTAACTTTGATGCCTGACAATGTTACCTTTCAAGGGATATTAAGTATTGAATTAATCACTAAGGTATTTTATAGCTTTACCTTAAAAAGAATTGTACTCCATTTTCTGAAAATGCTAAAATAAAAAAGACAAAAGAATATGAAGACAAAATCTTCATATTTAAACAGTATGCTATTCACAGCAGGGATGGATTTACTCAAGGGTCCCCCCCCCCCTCCTAGCCCTGGCCAGAGGGGGTGCTATTTTTCATGATAAAGCAAAAAACTATTAGAGACAATAAGGATGGTTTACACTATCAAAGTTTCTGTGATGACAGTAGGAATTTTGCATAGGTAAAGTTTTGAAAGATTTTTAAGAAATTATGTTTGAGGGAACTCACCAAGTGTTAAACACTGAGTCAATGGATAAGTAATAAATAACATGATAATAAGCAAACTGTGAACAACAATTACAAATCAAATACAGTAGTCAAGCAAGACTTTGTGGTAGTGAAGCAAGTTGATGGGCGGGTGGCACACATGACCGACACAACTCGGCACCAGAGCTCGCAGAGCACCCCCCCCCCCCCTACCAGATCATGCTGGGTCTATCCCTGATTCACAGTAATAAGGAAAAGAGCAATTACTCACCAAACTTAGTGCCAGCATGTGATAGAATATCTGACACATATCGATTTGGAAAAATCCCACTTTCGCCTGTCCGTAGGTTTCGTCCTTCGCACCACAAGTCCTCGTGAACTACCTTCACGTAAACAGCATCACCAACATTCAATGCAACCTCGTTCTGGTGTCTTGGGACAAACTTATACACGGCAAAATGTGTTTGAAGCTCAGCCGCCACCGGTTGTTGGCGTACCGTGAAACTCGGTAACCTGTCCCGAAAACCAGGCTCATGGCCTATGGTACTTCGTCCACTACCTTTGGTAACCAAATTTTCTCTCGACCGAGATATCGGCCTCGGACTCCCTTGTCGAGCAAATTTGTGATTGTCTTGAAATTTGGAACCTTGAATCGCCGAGAGTGATGCGGTACTCTGAGACTTTGTTAAAGTCTGTTTTAAAGAACTGTATTTATAGCCATCACGTTGGCTAGTTTTGGCAACCCCATTTATACTTTCCAAGCTGTTGTTGACCGGAGGTGATGATTTCACACGAGTCGCATGCCCATGTTGGGTCATAGAGTTTATAGCAGTCATATTTTTTGAAGACATTTAGTCTACGATAAACAGAGCAGCCATATACAAACTGATGTCTTTTGTATACTTACTGTCACTTAATGCTGTCTTGAATATGTTGGCTGGTGTGTAGGTATTAGTTAATAATTACATCAAAAGTAAAAACAAAAACGTATATATATGTACTGTATTGTACGAATTTGTGCCACTTCCTTCGTTTTGCCAACACGGAACCAATATAATATAAACAAAATACCAGGCGAACTTTAAACACCACAAATGACCGATAATTATCCTCAATAATTCTTCGCAAAACAAAGCTTCCTTTCAACATTCAAACATGTAAACTCATCCGAATGCCATGTCTTGTCACGTTTTAACGTTTTAATATATGAAATTCACCAGACCTTTGGATTCAGCGATTCACAAACGCAAAATAAATCGGTACCTCTTGCTGTTTTTATTGTGTTTTCCCCCCGTTTCGATTGGCGCGCTTGAACACACAGAATTAAAGTTTCAAAACAAATAATTTATGGCACGATTACATATGATTATCGTCTCGGCAAATATATAAAATGAGATTCGTTGCTAGGCCAGATGCTCTCTTTGTTGTATAAATATTAAATATTTCACCTGTACTTTTGACCTGTAAGCGTCACGTGTAGTCTTTCTCGTCAAACCACTTCAATATGTCGGGTATTAAAAAAACTTGATTCAAAAAAGATCTCGCCATTTCGCCATTTTGTTGTTGTGCAACTTAGTTTTTCTTACACCC